CTGAGTTCGATCCCCAGTACAAAAAAAAAAAAAAAAAATTACTCACTAGCTGCCAATGTTGCCAAATTAAGATTCTGTTTTAAGGAATAGTTTCAACTGTTTAAAAGTGATTGTTACCTTTCAAACATGTTTGGAAGTGATTAGAGATTAGGAAAGGAAAACCACAGGCTAAGGGAACAGAAGGGTATGTGACGAGAGAAAAGCGATGAAACCCTGGGAAAGACTCGAGGCCCAGGAGTCCCGCTCTTTTTTTTTTTTTTGGTACCAGGGATCAAACTCGGGACCTTGCACTTTCAAGGCAGGTGGCAGAACCACTGAGCTAAATCCCCAGCCCGGATTTGCTCTTTTTCACCTTGAAAACCAAGAAGCTGTCTGTGTGTTCTCAACATATACAGCCTCTTCCAACCATCCAGGAAAGAATGCTGGAGGCTACAGTGGCAACAGAAAGGCTGGTAGTGCTAAGAAATTATTCACAAAAGGTTTTTGTTGAGCAATAAAATCAGCCTCTCTGAAAAGTTTTATGACTCAAACTACCTGAAAGCACACCAAACCCAAAGAAATATGTGGGGTCTAAAACAGCTTATTTCTACTTTCAAAAAAACATAGTGAGAAGTGTATTTAATATATTATGCATGTTAACTTATCACTTTTGTTTTCTTTTGTTTTGCTCTGGTTCTGTAAAAAAATATGCAGATGTTAAGTAGTAGGTAAATATTATGCTGCTTCAAGAAATACACTTAGGGATTTTCCTTTTTTTTTTAGTACCGGAAATCGAACTCAGGGCCTTGTGGTTGTCAGGCAGGTGCTGTGCCACTGAGCTACATCTCCAGCCCAGGGATTTTCTTGTTTGTTTTTTTAAATAAAAAACTGTGGTTGGACGAATGATATGTGCTAGATTCCTCCTCATGAGTTGCTCCTATCCAAAGACAGCCCAGCCAGCCACAGTCTGAGTCATCATTCCCCACCTGGTGGCAGCCACCCAACCCTCAGGAACAGCTTACCAAGGGGGAAACAAAGCCTCAGTAAGGCTCATACTTCCAGGGTTCCATCTTTAAACAGACAGCAAGAGGAAATTAGGATTCCTTATTCCTCAAAAAACTGTCAAAAAGCTCTCAGAAAAGCTGATTTATGGTTCAGCAAAAACCTTGTTCACAAACTGTCAAAAATCCACCACATGGCACCCCACATCTGGCACACTGTATAGCAAATCAGAAGCCAAAAGGTGAAATAAACTACCCAGTACGTTTTACATGCATCTGAGAGGTGGATCTGGTATAAAATGCATGGGGTGTGTACTGGTCATTGACAGGGCAAGAGCTGAGTGAGCAGCTACAGGAAAGACAATGAAGGAAAAGTGAGAAATGAGCTGTGGTGATTACTACCTACGGGAATGAGATGGGTAGGCTGCGATTCTTCCAGTTTGCTCCTCAACCAGTCAAAATCCTGGTATCTTCGACGAACAGAATATTCTGGCAAGTCAAATTCCACCCGAGTACTCTGCAAATAACAGGATGGAAGAAAATAAACATGATGAATAGTACTGTATCTTGGCGAAAGGGAAGGAAAGGCAATCCTTTCAAATAACCAAACTGGGCAAGAAACACTTTCCTTCCACCAAACACACCAGCCAAATGTTGGAGTTTATCAATCAGGAATAGTTAGTCTGGGCCTCAGGGCCTAGTCAAAAATTCAAGGAGCTAGAATAAAAATGTCAGGTTTTTGGTTTGTTCCCCCCCACCACCCCCCCCCACCCCGCCCTGCCCCTCAGGAAATAAAACTCACCTGTCTCTCTGAATTGTTTAGAACACTGATTCATTTCCTCCAACTTTAACTGGGGGAATTTCTTTTTGCAGAGTAATTTCACTTAGGATATTACTACTAAATCCAACCCTGTGAAAAGAAATTAAGTCTCTACTTTCTGCTAAATGTGCTGACAAGCTTTGCTGAAAGCAAAAGGAAAATAATAAAAAGGTAACAGAGCCCTGCTCAGTTAGAAGGCAGATTAGATGAAAACAGAAAAGGTTCTGCTTACTCTGCCATCTTCTACAAGAAGGCCAGAACCATAACCTTGAAAGTGTACTGCATTTGACATGCATAAGAAAATATCTATAAGGAAATAACAAGATTCCACTGTATAGCAGAAAAATATTAATAATCTTATCCTCTTTCCTGAAGTTTTAAAGTTTTCTATGATGTGATTAATAATAAAAAACAGTGTTAATAAATTAAGTTGATTCATATTAAAAGGTTTTGACTCCTCAGTTACAATCATGTCTCCAATAAGCTATTTTCCCCTAGAAAAGTACCAACAGTTACTGATCTTAGGATTTAAAGTACAAGATAAAAATGGCTCAAGCTACATTTTATAAATGTATTTTTTCAAGCCAAAAGTCTCTTTTAACCAAGAAATGAAGAAAATCTTAAAAACACATAAGGAAGAGTCATCCATCAAAGAAGAAGCTGTGGACAGCTTTGGCACTGAAAACTGATTTCATCTGCCCCCAAATCTGTGCTCATGGCCTGAGCTAAACTGCCAAGGTAAAGGACCCCGTCTTGAAATGACCCCCAAGTAGCTCTTTCTGTATGGCTTCCCCTTTTCAAAGTCCCAGGCACCAGCAAAAACCCATGAAACAAAACCTTCCCCTAAGTTTGAGGGTGAAAGGAGTGGGAAGATGTGAGGAAACTCATTTAACTTAGCTATCTGTAAATTAGTAGGAGATGCCCAAAGGAATGGGAATGGTACTATGGGAAGTTGGGGAGAGGCAGTGCTTGAAACCAAAAAACTCACTCTCTGTTGATGAACTCTGAGGCACAGCGTGACAGAAATGTTGAGGACAGACTGCCTAGCTCCTCCCTGGCAGAGTCCCCAGCAGATCCCTGTGAGGACAGTAAGCCTCTCTGAGCCTCTTTCCTCAGCAGTAAGAAGAGAGTCAACAGGGACATTTTCGGTCCCCCATAGACCCTACCAGGCTCCATCAGAGGAGGGGGATGATTCCAGGCCCCTGAAAGGCAGAATTTGAAAGGTGATCGAGGACATCAACTCACTTCCGCTGTTAACAGGGCTGATGGAGGGCTTTCTAAATGTTACTCAACAATCAACTCATTGATTGTTTTCATTATGTTTTTCAACTTCATTTCATAAATTATAGCTATGTAAAGTTTCTACTCTTAAATTTGAAATAAATATTTGGTGTGGCATTATGGGGTCGGGGATTTAGCTCAGTGGTTTCGCCGCCTGCTGCGCAAACGCAAGGACCCGAGTTCGATCCCTGATACCAAAAAAAAAAAAATGGCATTATAAAATACAAGTTTAGTTTTGCTGTAACAAATCTGGGGAACTGGTTCTTTTCTTTTCCTTCTATATATTCAAGCTATCTGGACTTCTTTTAAAATTTCAAGAAAAATAAGGAAGTGAAAACTAAAGGATCAGTCATAATCCATCTAAACAAAAAAGTTAACATTAAGGTTTATATTTTTCCATATTTTTATGCATATTCTCTCAATTTTCTATCACTTTAATACTTCTTGGGCATCTTTTGTTTTGGGGTTTTTTTTGAGACAGGGTCTCACTGTAGTTCAGGGTGGCTTTAAACTCATTATGTAGCCTAGGCAGGCCTTGAACTCTCAGTGATCCTCATGTCTCAACCTCCTGAGTACTGAGATTATAGGTTTGTGTGTGTGTGTGTGTGTGCGCGCGCGCACGCGCCTATATTATAGGCACATATATAGTATCCTAATGAATGGCCATACTGCAGTTAAACCAAATCTTCATTTAAGTTTTTAATTTCCTCAGTCAATAAATAATGTTACAACAGACACTATTAATCCCTATCTGATAATCCCTTTAAAATGAGTCCCTAATGATAGAATTGCTGGATGAAAGCATACATATATTTTTAACTGACACACTGCTTTCAAAAATATACCAGTTTATGTTCTCATTACATGGATCTAGTTATCTTTGACAGACACATAAATGCAAAGTAATACATTCTTCTTTTACTTATAAATTTAAAACATTCTTTCAAATGTGTGTCAAGTATACACTTTTCTTTTGTTTTCATTTGTATAAGCTCTTTACTGCAATTTGCCTATTATAATTCCCAAATGGATTTTATATAAAATTTTAAAATTAAATAGATTTCATCCATTTTTCCCATTAGATACTTTTAGTATTATCAACAAGAAGGCCTCCCGTTACAAGTTTATCAACATACTTTCCTGTATCCTCTCCTTTATTTATGTTTTTTGGGTTGGTTTTTTTCGGTTACCAGAGATCGAACTTGGGACCTTGCACTTGCGAAGCAGCCACCAGAACCACTGAGCTAAATCCCCGGCCGTATGGTTTTCTTTTATATTTATGTCTGTAAGCACTGTTAACTCTACTTCTAGGAATATACCATTGAGAAAATAATTTTTTCTAGAGTGGCAAGTAAGCAGGATATCGTGGCTGCACCTGCAGTCCCAGCCACTTGGGAGGCTGACGAGGGAGGATCATTTGATCCTGGGACTTCAAGGCCAGCCTGAATATCCCAGCCATGACAAGTGTTGTTTTAAAAAATATTGCCAGGGATGCCTAGTGATAACCAAAGAGGTATTCGTACAGAATGATGGTGCTAAACTCCTACCATAGTAAAAATAAATATTCTTTACTATGACTCTTATGCTGTTACCTATTCTCAGAGTGCTTATCATAATAAAAGTAACAAATACATTTTCATCATGATCTGCACTGCAATATTTAAAAAGCAACCTAAATGTCCAATGATAAAAAAGAAAATTATGATATATTCCATGATTATTAATAATTATGTTTGTAAGACATTTGTAATGACAAAAATGCTTCAATATAGTTTAAGGGGAAAACAGGACGCCAAATTATTTGTACATACTGTATAATTTCATTTGTACTAAAATCTAAATATAAAAGATTATAGGAGCCAGGATAGTAGTACATGCCTGCAATCCCAGCTATTTGGGAGGCTGAGGTACAAGAATTGCATGTTCAAGGACAGCCTGGCAACTTAGCAAAACCCTATCTCAAAATTTTAAAAGGGCTGGGAGTGTAGCTTAGTGGCAGGGTATCCCTGGGTTCAATCCCAGTACCAGCATACAAACACACACACACACACACACACACAAACACACACATGCACATTAGAAGAATAATTCAGAACTGATAATGAGAACTGTCCTCTTTATATTCATCCTTGTTTCCAAATCTTATATGATCCTCATGTAATATTTTTATAGTCATATATAAAATGCTCAAGTTTTAATTCACAGCAAAAACTTACTTGTGCTTTGGAAAGCATAAGCAAAAATCATGAGAAAAAGAAGGATGTTCACACTCTCTCACCCAATATTTGCTTTACTTACACAAAATATAATCAAACAACATAAATTAGAAGTAGGTAAGAAAATAAAGAAAAAACAAGAGCAGAAAGAAAAAGTAGAGTCAGGAATGAAGCTAGGAAACACATTTGCAACACCACTCTACACACTTGCTAAAACTGGCTCACAGATATCCCTGTGAATTACTGGAGAAACCCAGTTATAAGACTAATAGTATTCACAAAATATACAAATCAATAAAACTCCAAATACAAGTTTGTAGTAAGTCTTTCCCGTGTAAAATTCAAGATCTGAGGAAAACAAATGTATATTTATGCCTTATTTTCTAATATCAGTGGTTAACAAACCAATAAAGAAAAATGCAGAACCACAATCTCATAATCAGGGATAACCATTACAGCATTTCAGTCCTTGTCATTCCATCTGTGTGTCTACAACCTAGATCACAAGGTCCTGGTTACACATCTAACATCAAATCTAACAACAGGTAACTGCACACAGTCATAGTAAGGAATACTTATTTTTACTTCACTAGAAGCCCACCTCGTCAGTGTATATGAACACCTCTTTGGTCATCTCTACGCATCCCTGATGATTTGGGGGGAGGGCTTCCAACACTTTGGAAAACCTGTCTCAAATCCACGCTCTAATCAATCACTCAGCATGGTACCCCACCCCCTGGGCCTCACCCTATCAAAAAGGCCTCTCCTTCCGCCCCAGAAGCAGATGTGCCCAACAACTGTGGCCCAGAGCCATTCCAAAGAATGTCCATTTAATCCAAAATTCGGTCTTCATCACAAGGACCATCTCCCTAGGCTACAGCTAGAGCCTCAGACATCTAAGTGATACCTGTCCCCCAGCATCAAAACCTCTTCTGTTACCAAATGATAGCCAGCTGATCCCATTCTGCTTCCAAACCTCACCACCTAAGAGACCCCCTGAGAATGATGCCTAGCAAGGTGTCTGGACATTCATCCTCACGCTCTTCTGGGCTTCCTTTCCTTGGAGAAAAGCTCTCCACCAGCTCTCTGAAGCACCCAGTCCACAGGTGATGCAGTCCAATGGAAACCAGGCTCTCCCTGTGCATACAGTCTCCCTGCCATCTGTCCCTCTGTGGACTGCGCACTGTCTCTACTCCACAA